TTTATTTATTGGTATTGGGATCCAACTGGGATCCTTGCGCTTGCAAGGCAGGCGGCAGAACCACTGAGCTAAATCCCCGGTTCTTTATTTTTTTTTTTAGACAAGGTCTCACTGCATAGTCCAGGTTGGATTTGAACTCCCTCCCAATCCTCCTGCCTCAGCCTCCTGAGTGCTGGGATTATAGGTGTGGCTGAGGCAGGAGGATCACCATGAGTTTCAGGCCCGCCTGGACTAGAGTGAGACCTTGTCTTAAAAAATAAAAAAGACATCTGGGGTTTGGAATACAACCCATGCCTGGTGTGTGTAGGGCTCTGGGTTTGAGTCCCAGTACTTGGAAAAAAAAATCTGAATTATGATGAACAAGAGAAAATGGAATTGAATGTAACCAAGTGTTTTAAAGCAAAGGCTGAGCGGCCGAGGGAGGGGGTGCCCCTGTTTCCATTAAAAATCTGTGACTTCCTGGGCTCCCACCTAGCGAGTGTTGAGCCACCTCCCTGCAGCAGGGCCACTGGGCCTGAGCCAGTGACAGGGAGGAGCGGAAAGAGGATTTTCAGAGATCTCTTTGTTGTTATGAGAAGCCAAGCCTAACCTGCTGGCTATGTTCCTCACCCCAGGTGTCGCTGGCTGGGCAGTGTCTGCACGACGCCCCCGTGGCCTTCCTGCGGGACTTTGCCACAGAGTGCACCACCAACTTGGAGGTGTATGAAGAGCGGGACATGGGCACCTCAAAGGTGGAGGGTGGCGCTGCAGGAGGTACCGTGAGCTGCGTCTGCGGGTCGGGGTAAGGGGTGAGCGCACGAGAATCAGATGCTTCTCCTGGATCAGCTTAAAACAGGGTCCGCTGCCAGTGGAGGACAGGGGTTTTTGTGGAAGAAAGCATATTGCTCTTTTTTTTTTTTTTGGTACCGGGGATCGAACTTGGGACCTTTCGCTTGTGAGGCAGGTGCTGGAACCACTGAGTTAAATTCCTGGCCTGCATATTGCATCTCAATTCTTTTTTCCATGCTGGGAACCGAACCCAGGACCTTTGCTCTGAGCCACATCCTGGTCCCCAAAATTTTAAAACCAGGTCTTGCTAAGTTGCTGAGTTGCTCAGGCTGAGTTCTAACTTGCAGTCTCCTGCCTCAGCCTCCCAGGGGACCAGGATCACAAGCATGCACTGCTATGCCTGGCTTTTTTTTTTTTTTTTAATCAAAATGTTCATAGCCCAGAATTACAGTGTTTTTAAAAAAGTTTTTTTTTTTGAACGCAGGACCTTGCACTTGCCAGGCAGGCTCTATGCTGCTGAGCTAAATCCCCAGCCCAAGAATTAAAGTTTGTAATCTAGCGGCATCTAGTACGTTCACAGTGCCGTGGTAACTTACTCCTCTGTCTGGTTCCACAGCTTTTTACCCCCATAGGAGGCCTGTGCTGTGTCCACAGACAGCCACTCCCCGTTCACGCTGCCCTGACCCCTGCCACCTCTCTCCATCTGTGACTTCCCTGTGGTGGGCATTTCACATGAACGAGTTGTTCAGTATGTGGCCCTTTGTGTCGGGCTTCTTTCACTTGGTGAAATGTTTTGAGGTTCATTCTTCATGGTGCAGCCTGCCCCACAGCTGCTTCTTTCTCACAGGTGAATAATATTCTACTGCATGGAGAAACCACATCCCATTTATCT